TCATCGTCATGTCATTTTTGGTCTAGTTAATTCTGTGTGAGACATCATCACGTGTATTTATATGTATGTTAGTGGATGTGAATGATAAAGAATTTATAATGTGAGGGAGTACAGTCAAACAGACAGTAGCTGTACATGATATCTTCAACAATCACTAAATCAACATTCAAAGTATAAAAGTAATTCAGAAAAGTTTTTATCAACCATAAAGAAAGATGATTAGGTGATGCGATTCATATGATGCTAAATCCCTTTATCTTCAATAGAACGGAAAGCCTGACTATTCATCCAACTTGAACGATATATCCAAACAATGATTTTTATTTTTATTCATCTCTCAGAACATTAACATGAACACGTATCTACTCATATCTAAACTCCACTCCCTCACAATACAAATTTCATATCATTCACATCCACTAGCATACATATAAATACACGTGATGATGTCTTACACAGAATCAACTAGACCAAAAATGACATGACGGTGACATGAGCTGACATATTCTAATCTTAAGATTGATTGGACTATATATATAAATGTGCATAAATAAAAATTATATATATATATATAAGTAGAAAAGTCAAATTTTCTGACGTTTCGCGACCCAGTGTAAGCCACTTCTTCAGAGAATGTACACAAATTTCCGCTGTTCAAGTGTTTGTCTCAAGTAGCGTAAACTATTAGTAGTTTAACATATGAATCACTAAGACAAAACTCATTACGTAACTTATTGGCAATCTAGAAAACTATTCACAATTTATTTGAATGAAAAATATGATTCTTAAAGTATTACCATCCATCCATGACTGATAAATATAAACTTTCCTTGTCATTATTCAATTACCACCATAGTATATTTGGAGTTATTGCTGAACTATACTCTCTCTTATAGACTCGTCATTCTAGCAGAATTCCAATACAAAAAAGCATTTTTTTAAAAGCACAATTTTCTCTTCCAATTTAAATACACTTCGTAATGAAAATCATTTCTTTGATTAATTTGTAAACAAATTAAGTACACAATAAATAATGAGTGTTTTAGAACAGTCTATACTGAATAATCTCAATGAATTTATTACAAGATCTTATCTCCTTTTATATATTGAACATGTAAAATTGTTTGTTGCTTAATTTAACTAACACCCTCAATTATTATTTTGTTTTGTTATAAAAAGATTGTGTACTACTTGTCTTCCTCATTTTTTTCTCAATATTTCTTTTTAATGTTCTATAACTAATAGTGTACATTAAATCAACAATTAAACATGTGTGTTTTCCTGCCATTGATTATAAATAAAAGAAAAATTAGTATCAGAAGGTATTTTGTGGAGATTGTAGTAATTTCAATAGTTGAGCGCAAAAGTCAATTGAAGTCAGACCTTCTTGAAAAACCTGGAAGCACTAAACGGCCATTTCAGCCTAGTGTGGGACTCCTTAGCAATGCTCATTCACGATCCCACCCCGCAAGATTCGAACCCAGGACATATCGCGAGTGCCTAATAAGTGAGCCGGCATCCAACGGTGTTCATGTCTAACTTCAACTAATCCACGAAACTGAGCGACACATCCACCACTGTCATCACTGAGCTATTATCTCACAACTGATGCGGTTGAACTCCATAATAAAGAAAAATTTTAATACCTTTTTAAAGAAGTTATAATAGGGTTGGAATATATTCATCTAAACAATATTATCATTACTGTACTTATAAAAATAATATGTCAACATGACATGAGGCGATTTTGTATAGATGAAACATAAATGATGTACTAGTTGTATGTAATAAGGATTTTAAGGTTCCCTGTTATTAGATAAACTCACTGGGGTTCAAAATGATATCATGACGACTTATGAAGCAGAAAATTATGGGCAATTGTTCTTTTTAGACATACTTTTAAGTCGAAGGGAGGATATTACTATAAGACGTCAGTTTATAGGAAACCAACTTGGACGGGGCAATACTTAACTTTCCAGTTTCTGACCATTGTAATAAAAGCGATTAAGTGTCTCTTTAATAAGACTAAAAAAGAATTTGCATTGCTGACACGGTTGAAAAAGATGAAACGTTGCTGACTAACACATTAGTATCAAATGATTATCAACTAGTTTATTAATAAGTTCAAAAGTCAGTTAATGCCAAGACCTCTTGTTTATTCGATTCCAAAGAAAAAAGTTTATATCCATCTACCATGCTGCTCAATTGGTTGTGATTGAAAAGTCTAAGCCCATGATTCGAAATATTTATTGTCAGCTTACAAGTTCATTATAAATTTTCAAGGAAAACTATCAGTATATAAGTAATCAGTTTAACTAAGGAAATCTGATATATTTATCATCAAAGTCTAATCTTAGTTAAATAAGTCTTCGAAATCAGAAAAGATTGAATAGCTTTTATATCGGAATATGGGACTCCTTAGCAGTGCTTATCTATATTCAGACAAAATATTTTTCTGTTCAGCTAAGAACAGTTCATGATACTAACTATAAACTTCAACAATCGTCACCATTCGTCATAGTAATAAGGAAATTTTTATTTCAGCTGAGTTATAACTGAACAGGTGAAAGATTTAACTGAAAAAATGTTACATTTTAGGAAGCAATATCTTTCAATGTTCTTCTTTCATAAAGATAAAGATATATATATTATTTGTGAACTTATAAAGGAATCGAACACATAAGTAGGACAGGGTAGTGAATTAATTCAAAGTAATAAACTTTATGAGTTCACTTAAACATAAAAAAATTGGATAAAGTGAAGTTTCAAGTTCCCTTGTTTTTAAATTTTTATGCGTGTAAAATTGTAAATTGCAAAAGTTTCAACACTATTTAAAAATTAACTTAATTTTACTTCAATGATACCTAAACGAGATCTATTAAAAATAAATGTTATTAGCTTTATTTGATAACAATTCTGTTTGATTTAGGTAAAGAATTATCCGTATAAAATGTGTCATATTACGGCAAATTCACGTCTTACATACAAATAATTTTTGAGTATTCGAAGGATGTTTATTCCTAAGAAAGTTCTTCCTGTAGTAATCAGTAGTCTGTAGTGGCTGGGACTATATCAACCCCACGTAGGTTAATCTAGCCTCTGAACAGACCAATCTGTTCATTCCTCTCAAGCTACACCTATTCCCTTATTAACCCTAAATTTTTTATGCGATCCTATGTATGTTAATTACTTACCCTACTCATCATGTGTCTATAATTTATTTCTGTTTGACTATAAATATCGATCAACTCTTGATTAAATTGAGTTGGCCCACATGTCATCTCCGATCCGTTTCGCTTCTCTCTTTTCTCTCTGCTCCCTTCGTTTCGTTTCCCTGATTGTCTGTCCAGATCAATGATTGTGTGAAATACACGTATTCAAAATTCGTTATCGTATTTATTTACTTAATTTCGTCAGTCCCTAACGCCAGTTAAATCGATGATTATAGACGAAGGTAACTGGGTTGTATATTTCAATAACAACCATTCATATGATCTAATTGGAGTCAGATATCGGGTCACCTAAATGTCAACAACGATCATTCATAAACGCTTCTAATCAGTCTTACTCAAGTTATATATTTTCATAACATGATGTTCAGGACATGGATTCATTACTAATCACCTCTTGTTTGCCTAAAAATCAGACAAAGAATAAATTTTACCTACCATTATAGTAATGATTCCGTTTGTATTTAGTGATAACTACAACAACAATACGTTATATGCTTTTTAGAAATGTAGATAAGTACATAATTCATCCGTTAAAACAAACCTAAAACGAATAAATTTATTTAAAAATTTCCATAGAATTTCGAACTACAAACCATAGAAAAGTAATAAGAATCTCTGTGTCTGCCCAGGTTAAACTTCACATCAGGTGAAAGTATTGTAATGTTATATCATCATCAATTCAAATGAAATCTGTTTTCAAACTCTTTATACAACAATGTATCTGTTTGTTTAGTCTAGCTGATATTTAGCTGTTACTATTTGCTAATAGCAAATATTTACGAATATTCTTTGTTTTCCGGATATACTAATAACTGTTTTGTAGAATTACAATATTTAGTTTATCGTTACAAAATATGCGTTTATTTAGTTACTAGTGAACTGATAATGAACGGATTTCATGACTATGTTGATATGATTACAAGTTTTCTTGTTTGCTTAATTTATGCTTCTGAACTTGTCTAAAAATTAATTCATAACTTCCTCATATCTGGCTTGTTTTGTAATTCAACACTGTCTGACGAATTGTAAGGGCAAAGACGAGTTTAAGGGCATTTAAATAATCTAATTGATTCCACTGATTAAAATCATGAGTCAAATGAAGCTAGACCACCATGGAAAACCTGGAAGCACTGGACGGCCGTTTCGTCCTATTGTAGGACTCCTCGGCAGTGCGCATCCACGATCCCGCACCCTGAGAGATTCGAACCCAGGGCCTACCAGTCTCGCGCCAGGCGCTTAACCAACTAGACCACTGAGCCGGCATCCGGCGGTGTTAATGTCTAACTTCAACCAATCCACGAAGTTGCGCCACTGTATACCATTATCTTCAGTGAGCTGATATCTCACAACAGACCTGGTTGAACTCCACTGGTAACGGCTTCTCATTAGATCTCCAGGAGTATCTTTTGTAATTTAACACTGTCTGACGAATCGTAAGGGCAAAGAAGAGTTTGAGGGCATTTAAATAATCTAATTAATCACAAACTAATATGTCTATAAGGTCACTTTATTTATCCACTGTTTTAAAATTAATATAAATACAGAAAAGAAAGTCCTCATCTTAACATAAATATAAAGAAGTATGATAATAAGTCTAGAATGGCATCCAACCGTACATTCTAGTCACAGAAATACGGCAAACCTTTAAGAAACTTTTTCGAAGAATAAATGTAAGAAAAATTAAAATTATAAATGATCGTAAAACACTTAATGTGATAAATATATTGTTTATTTTAGAATGTTGTATTTCTTTTTATTCAACCTTAGACTTTATATTCATTCCGTTGATCAAAAACACCTATTACAATTGGCTTTACAGTAGAAGTACAAGATTGGTTTGATACTATGAGAAAAGATAAATCCTTTCAATTAAATCATCGTGTTCGTTTACGCATTTTACCATCAATTCAAACGTCAACTAGTCAATCAACTGAAATATGGCCAGTTAAACCATCAAATTCATTAAATTATAGATGGAAACTTTCAAATGCAATTGATAAATTTCTTCATCCAAATTGTTCACCACCTTGTAATCCAGACGTTGGTATCTGGCAGATAACACAACAAAGTAAGTTGACATTAATTTTATTTTATACCAACGAATAGTAAATGATTCATATAACAACTATCTTCCTTAAATTAAAATATGACGATTATTGAATTAGTAAGCAAGTGAAAGTTCATTCTTATGATTTTCAATTATATCAGTTCACAGAGAAGCATAGGAAAATTTTATTTTTTTTATTTTATTGGAAAGCAAATAATTACTTTGAAAAATTTCAGTAAGCTGTATGTTACAGCATCAAATTTCCATTTTTCACATTCTAATGTTTCTGAAAATGAAACATATTTATACACATACGTTACTGTGTAGAACTCCGTTAAGCTAACATTGTGTTCAGTCTGTCGAATAGAATTAATTCCTAACACTGATATTATATAAATAAATATGAAACTGCATCATATTTAATTCAACGTCAAACAAGTTATCATATTACAAATGCAAACAAATAAGGAAAGTGAGTTAGTTAATTTCAATGAAATATATCGTTCACTAAACAAATAGATCATAATATTATTACTATCATTATTATTAGTAGTAGTAAGAAGAAAAAGAATTTGTCCTTTCTGTTGTTGATATTCAGAAAGAGTTTGATCAGTTTTCTGTTGTCATATGATATCCTTGGACAGAGGCCTTTATACTATTTGTATTTACAAATTTATTGTATTTCTTGGAATATGATAAGTGAAATCTAGAGTTTTAATTTACTTCTGCTTGAGGGATTCCACCTGGATATATCTTCAACTCTGTGTTGACGTTTTCACTGAGCCTCAAACCCGGTTCTTATCGTTATACGAGTTAGTGGCTTTTGTGAATCCTTAGATGATTATCATTTAAAGAGTTAGGTGGTGAATTTCAGTCTCATTCGTAAAATATTAACAATAAGATTAGGATATCTCTAGTTGCCGTGTCCCAACTAGTACAAAATGATTATTGTAGCTTCCACTATTAGATCCAACCCAAAAATATGATGAATGGGCTAAACTTCAGAAACTTTTCAAGACACCAATTTCCTTTTTTTCTGGGATGTCTTCCATCTGTTACTTGATTTCTGCACTTTACCCCAGCTATATATAACTTTTCCATTGGTTCCTATGGCTAGTGGTAACTAAATATCATAAAAATCTAATGATTATTTATTTATTTTAGGTTAAGACACAAGACAATGCATCTAACCCAATCATATAAACTTAATCCAAAATAACTTTCACTTAAAATTATTTCTCCGAAACTAAAGTATATAGTAAGTAATTTGGTTGTTAACTTACTTTGACATTGTATCGGTAAAACGAAGTCGTGGTAGTTAGAACACTTTACCTAAATTGATTACTAAACAAGTAGAAAATACTGAAATACACATCAATCAAATACTTTGCAACTAAACAATCATAGATAATTTTTTTAATATTTCTTCTCCTCTCCATGATACAATGGTAGAAAACAAAAATTAACTATGAGAACATTTGTTGCTTCTCAAGGAAACTAAAACAGGTTATTAAAATATCATGTTGAAATGATTACTATTGACAATTCATTAATTACGGAATGGTGACCAATGCCATGTTTGTCTAGTCCAAGTTATATGAATCAAGCTGGATAGTAGTCGCTAGTCTAAATAACTTGATATTTCATGCACTGTGTTGACATTCTAGGTGGTTGGACGAATGCTAACTACCATGAAAGTTCAGTTTCTGTCAAATACCTTCAACTATCTGACGCATTAACATATTGTACATTGTGTCAATCCACGCACATTAGTGATCTTATTGAAAGTTGATCTATATAATTCGGTAAGCAACAAAGGTCAGATAAATGTTATATCAGTTGCTACGCAGGGACTAGTCATTGGCAAATACATTAATCCTGCAGGAAGTTGTTTGAAGCCAAAATAACTCAGTAGTAAAGTCTCACACTGTAAAACTGAGTGACGTTGGTTCGAATTTGACAGAGAGCCAGTCTTCTCAAGATTACACATAACGGTTGATGGAAAGTACCAACTAGCACAAAATCTAATTCAAGGTTTTTCTGTACACTGACTTTAACAACATAGCAATATATATGACTAATCATACTTTTAGCAAACTTCACTGAGTCTTATTCGAACACTGGTGATCATTTTAACCAATACAATTAAAAAAACACCCCCTAAAATCTTTGCACTTGAAAGTTTAACCGGAGCTGTTCTTTTTATGAATTGCAGTTATGCAAAAGAACATGAGACACCTTTAGGAACTCTTCCAAACGAATAAGCATGTACTGCTTTTTCCAGAAATTTTGAAGACTATATATTACTTCGAGTGTATAAAGAGGAAGACAAAGTGTATTCAGAATTCTAGTGAACTCAACTTTCTGGTAATAAACCGAAACGGAATCTGGAGATTAGTTAAAAAGACTAGCGTTTAAATGAACTAATATGAGTGTTTCTGGTTACTTCGGTTTTATAACATGTAATTTTATTCAAATCAACATCTTAAAGGAGAAATTTTATGGCGTTTATAACCCAAAATGATACAAAGAAACGCGTTTTCAAGCCTACAAAAGGCTGATGGTTTGATAAAATTGTTATGGAGTTGAATATTTTGTCTAAAATAAAATAAAGAACTTTGATTAATCCCCCCAATCAAATCCTTGTCAGATTTCGATGAAGATACTATCCAAAACTGCTATGAAAAACAATTATCCGATGTTTCTTTCAAAGATAGTTCAGACTTTTCATTCCTACTACAAATATATAGATAATGACTTTTTAATTGATTTGTAGATCATAAACTGCAAAATCAAGTACATTTTTAAGACTTTTAAAAGAGAAACAATTTATTTTACGAAAAACGGTTTTGATCATAGAAAAATTATCACAAAACTTTGATCAGTATGATACTTAAATATGCATTAGACAAAAACCTAGGAAGATGACAAATATTACTTGGAAATGTTATATCCTAGTGAAGATTACATTACGAGTAACGTCTGAGACTTATTAATGGTCTATTATTATTTATATATTCTCATGGCATAAATATTCGGTAACTAGATTATTTATATCTATATTCCCCTTGTTATAAGCTTTATTTTGACCTATAGTTTATTATTGTACAATGTACGGTTCTTAAGCTATGGTCAGTTTATTAACTATGCCTCCCACGTTCACAGCCACTTTTTGGCTTTATTGTGTACAAATATTATTTCCTATTTTATGGTGCGTTGCGGTCTGTTTGATTGATATATAAACCCAGTATATCTGAAATAAAGGATTCGACTCGCATATTGGAAGCTGGTATTGTTGTTCTTGACTCAAGTGGACAGGTTAGGCGGACATAGGACCAATAAGGACGCTAGAATGACCATACCGGTCGAACGTCATTAGTTTGGCTCAGTGCATAAAACTGTTCATTGTCTTTATTTATTACTGTAGATCATACAATACAGATGAAAATATTTTTCGATTCAGAAAATTTTCTATGATCTCTAAGTACTTACACCAGTATAATCTATCATTTTTGAGTAAAATATTAGCTCAAATTACAGTGTTCCGTTTCATTCTTGTTATGAACAATACAACAAATTCTGATTCATAATTGTATCTGTTCTAGGCTTAGGACGATTCGCTCTGTTCATTCTATTCTTATTAAATATCTGTTTACCCACCGTAAAGAAAGTATTCCGTAATCACGACGTCTTCTATTTAAGTTCAAGTTCATCTAACATAATGTTTATGAACAACAAATAAAGTTAATCTTCCTATTTTACATTTACAAATAATTTTCTTATCAACAGCATGTGGAAACTAATTAATATTAATAAACCAATTCATTTCATTATTGAATGTATTTCAGTGATAAATCAATAAGTATTTATCTACTGAAATTATCTTGAATGGTTTCAGTATCCAAAAATTATCATCGCCAAATCAGTGTACTTTGATTTTCAATTATGGTGAAATCGAGAATGCCGACCAGTTGAATACTGTTTATCTGTATAAGGTTGTGGAGATTGATAAGTTTCACCGAAATCATGAACCACCATTGAAAACCTGGAAGCACTGGACAGCCGTTTCATTCTGATATGGAGCTTTTCAGAAATAATTATCAATATAGGGTTGCAGAGGCAGTTACTCAATCTAAGATTATTGCGCAACGTCACAAACTGATTAAATCTAGACATTAACACCGTTAGATGCCGGCTCAGTGGTCTATAGATTAGGCGTTTACGTGAGATCGAAAGCCTTGGTTACGATTCCCATGTGCGGCATCGTAGATGCGCACTTTTGAAGAAGCGCATGCTAGGACGAAACGGCCGTCCAGTGTTTCTGAGTTTTCAGTGGGATCTAACATCGGTCTGTTCATGATTTCAGCGAATACTGTTTATTAGCCCATAATATATAGAAATATTCCCCATCACATTGATAACATCAAGCTTTTCAGTCATTTTTAAAATTAGTGTAGGTAATAATTTGAGCATATATCTCACTGACATATCACTGAAATAAGATAAATAATGATGTCTTTGATGTATATTGTACTGTAACAATGTTTAATTTTGATACTTAAATCTACTTGATACTTAAAATCTAAAATTTCATTCCCAAATTTACATTACAGCTCATTTTCCGTTCTTTTTTCAGATGTAAACAGTCTATCAGTCACATGGGCTCAACTTTCATTGCTTCAAGAACAAGGAAAATCGCAAACAGATATACCAGATGAAAATTTGTCTAACTGTCCGTGGGAAAAATTTGATCATTTACAAAATTTACTTATTTTTGCACCAACTTTAGTTTCAGCTCAGAAAAATCTAGGTCTTGTCACTGGTCTTGCTAACGATGGTCAACTCTATCTATCGCCTTGGTCAGCACCTTCGAATCATTTTAGAGCACACATCGAATCATCTGAACTTGGAATAGTTGAAGCGGCTGTAGTTGATCGTATGGGAAGTTGTGCACGCCATACAAATAAGTTCGAAGGTCAAGAACTGATGGGACAATCAATGCAAAACAGATTCTCTTCATTCTCAAGTTTAGATAATGATGTGATTATGAATTTCACAGTATTTACGGGTACGTTTAGAATCATGTTAAATGATTTGTCATTTTTACGTATATAATGAACTGGGAATTCTTGATTACACACTTTACATAATGTATATTAAATTGTGAAAAATGTCTTGATCAATAATGAAATAGCTTGTCTTAATACTGGATCGAACCGTGTTCTAACTAATATTTTTTTGTTTGAATGATTGAGTAACAAAATGATTGACATTAGAAGTTACATAAAGCATCTATAAATTTTCACTTCATCAAAAGACTCGGGTTAGGTGCACTATTTAAAATCTTAGACTTGAAATGAGATTCGTGATATGAATTAACGCAACTATAATTTTAAAAAGCTTGAATCATTAATAACAAATGTTGCATAGTTTCATCGATAAGTGAAAGTAACATAAGGCGTGTCATATAAATTACAGTTGGTAACTGCATATCCTAACAACCAAGGCGAACTACTAACAATCTTATAGAAAATTGCTGCTATAAAACATTATTGATAAACTAAAAACGAAGGTCCACGAGTATATAGACTTATTGTTGTTCCGAGATTTGGCATCATTCTAATTTAAATATTTTTATTTGACTATCAACTGATAATATTTGAAAATGTAAAAATTAAATTTCATTTTTTAGTATGAAGCTAATAATTCTTTTTGTTCGGCACCGTATAAGATTGGAACATTTAGACCTCTGAGGATTACTGTGAAACATTTATGACTACCTAAACAACGTGCTAAGTTATTTTAGAATGAGTATATACATATCATACCTAAGGAGAAATTCTTAAATTGTTCTACGATCGTACTGGTTCTAGGTTTTATTGTCTATTTTGCCTAAAACGTAAATGAAACCTTTACGCTTAAACCACCTAGAACAAAAAATTCAATTTCAGTAAAATAACGAATCGCTTTTCTGATTTAATAGGATGGGTGTAATTACCATGTATTTACTTACTTATGCTTGTTACCCCTCGTAGATGAGCACAGGCCGCCCACCAGCATTCTTCATCCAACTATGTCCTGGACAATACTTTCCGTTCTTTCCACTTGCTATTCATCCTTTTCATGTCATCTTCCAATTCTCGACGCAATTTGTTCTTCGGTCTTCCCCTTTTCCAATTCCCATCAGGAATTCAAGTTAGTGGTTGCCTCATGATGCAGTTTGATGATTTCTGTAATGTATGTTCTATCCACCTCCTTCAATCGGAAGCTGGTTTGTCCTCTCCCACAGTAGGTTGTTGCTGACGGCATACGACTAACAGACATTGCGTTCATTGTGTGGGTGATTGGTTAGAAATACCTGTACACGTTTGACGATAGCTGTGGTAATTCTTCAAGCTTCAGCTCCATACGTACATTAGAACTGTCTTGACGTTCGTATTGAAGATCCTCATTTTGATATTGGTTGACAGTTGTTTTGGGTTGCATATTTCTTCAACTTTAGGAATGCTATCCTTGCCTTGGCGATCCTTGCCTTTACGTCTGCATCCATTCGTCCTCATTCATCGATGATGCTTCCAATGTACTTGAAAGTTTACACCCCTTACAGAGCTTCTTCATCAAGTGTGATTGGGCTGGTGCTCTCCATTTTGTATTTGGGATCTTGTCTTTTGCCTTGTGTATTTTGAGGCCTACTGCTGAAGAGGCTACTAGTGCTCTAGTTGTCTTCATCTGTATTGGTTCGTATGTATGGGATAAAAGGGTCAAGTCATCCGCGAAGTCCAAATCTTCTAATTAATTCCGAGCTGTCCATTGTATTCCGTGCCTTCCTTTAGATGTCGAGTTCTTCATAATCCAGTCAAACACTAGAAGGAAGTGAAAGGGGGAGAGTAAGCAGCCTTGTCTGAATCCGGTCCTTACTTGGAATACTTCTGTCAGCTGTCATGCATGTACCACTTTGCACTGCAGTCCATCGTATGAATTCCGAAAGATGTTGACTATTTTCTCAGGTACACCATAATGTTGAAGGTGATTCTACAAGGTTCTTCTATCCGCAGCTAAATACTTCCCTATAAGCAAGTAAGTTGACGTATGGTGACGAGTTCTATTCAATCGATTGTTCAAAGGTAATCGGTAGTGTCACGATATGATCTGTGCACGACCGGTCCTTACGGAATCCAGCCTGTTGATCTCGAATATGGTAGTCTACTAAATCTTTCGTTCTCTTCAGCAGCACTCTCTTGAAAACATTTCCTGGTACTGATAGCGGTGTGATGCCTTTTTAGTTCTCACACTTGCTCGAATCTCCTTTCTTCGGCATCTTGATGAGGTAACCTTCTTTCCAGTCTGTCAGTGACACTTGTTCTTCCTCACAAATATTTTCGAATTGGACGTGCTTCGGTTGATCCATTTCCAGGTCTCACTGCTTCCCTACTCTTTACTCGTCTGATGGCCATCCTGACTTTTTCGATGGAGTTGCAGTGAACGAGAACACAAGTGGGGACAATCGGACGTATCTGAACACAAAATTACAGAACGTCTTAGTAAAATCTGAGAACCATATAGCAAATACTTCATTTGCAAAATATCAATCAATCGTCTCAGACTTTATTATTTCTTCGCTTCCACAGCAATCATTCTCTGTTCTCATTTCCTTTTCTCTGATCTTCTTTACCTTCTGCTACCAAGCATTTCACTTTCGATTGATGATACATACTATTTATATCTGTCGACATGAATAGCACACAGCACAGAGTGACATCTATAGAAAGGTCTATGTGTGCTGCTTCGAACTCCGGTGAATTTAATGGAGCTGGTCTATTTAAGAGTTCCTCGAAGTGTTTCACCCATCTCTTCCCATTTTCTTGAGTTCCAGTGATTGACGTTCCTTCATTGTCCTTGACCGGTCTCTCTGGTTTACAATATTTCCCTGCTAGTTCCTTCGTTCTATCATAAAGCTGTTTCATATTTCCTTCTCTTGTAGATTTTTCCCTGGTCGTTGCTAGCTCTTCCACATATTTCTGCCTGTAGGCCCTAATACTCCTCTTCAGTTGCTTGTTTGCTTCTGTGGATTCATCTTGTACCTTTACTTTCTCTGTACTTGTTCTGTTGTTGTTAGTTGCTATCTTCTTGTTCTTCTCTTCTGGAATATTGTATAGCGTTTTGATAGAGATCCATTCCTTCTGATGATGCTTCTTGCGACCAAGAACCTTCTGACACGTTGAAGCTAATGCTTCTTTGATACCTTTCCAGTTGTCCTCCATAATAGTTTCTTCTTCTTTCAGTATATCCTGTAAGGCTTGGAACCTGTTGTTGAGAAGTATCTTAAATTCATTGAGTTTGTTAGTATCTCGAAGGAAGGCTGTATTGAACCTTTGTAGTGCTGTTTGTCCAGTTGTTCGGTTCTTCTTTAGCTTCAATTTTAAATTGGCCACAACTAGGTGGTGATCCGAAGCTATATCACCTCCTCTCCTGGTTCTCACATCTTCCATAGTTCTCCGGAACTCTTTATTGGTGTAAATATGATCTATCTGGTTCTCCGTAGCGTGGTTCGGTGAGATCCATGTAGCTTTGTGTATACGTTTGTGTGGAAATATTGTGCCTCCTATGACCAATTTGTTGAATGCATACGGATTTGCAAATCTTTCCTCATTTTCGTTTCTCTCTCCAAGTCAGTCCATGTCGTCCCATGATATCTTCATATCCGGTGTTGTCTATTCGGACTTTGGCATTTAGATGTCCCATCAGAATGGTGAGGTCGTTTCTTGCGCATTTCTCTACGATTGATTGCAGCCTCTCATAGAATTGATCTTTAATGTCGTCATTGCTATAATTGGTGGGTGCATAACATTGGATAATATTCATTGTGATCTCCTCCTTCTTTGTTTTGAATGATGCTTTTATGATTCTGGATCCGTGAGATTCCCATCATACAAGTGCATTTCGTGCTACTTTGAACAGCATTAGAGCAACTCGCTGTGTGTGTGGAGCACTTTTCTCTTCGTGACCGGAGTAACGCAGCGTCTCTCCCGTATTTAGCCTTTGTTGTCCAGCTTGGTTCCAATGGGTTTCGCTGATTCGTAGTACTGCCAAGTTGTATCTCCTCATTTCCGTTGCTGTTTGACTGGTGTTCCCGGTCTCCCACATTGTTCGGACGTCCCATGTGCCTATACAAGTTGTTGGTCTGGTTGTTAGAAGGGGCATCGGCCTCGTGGCTTCCGAAGGGACTGGGCTTTCATCATGAGGCGTCATAGCTCTTCTTTCAACCCTAGGGCAGAGTTTAATCTGGTTGGCGTTTTTTCAGTAAGGTTGTTTTCTACGAATCGGGGTTGCTAACCACACGCCCAACGCTCCTCATTTACCCGGGCTTAGGACAGGCAGTAACTCTAGAATAGCTACAGGTGGAGTTAATTACGATTTACATCAGTATTATTATTAGTCATACTTTTAATTTAACATATTATCTGTCTTGTCCACCCAGTTTATCAATGATTTATACATTTTTGTATCAATATCATAAGATTCTCTCTACTCTATGCATACACTCATGCTTCCTGGCATACAATATTAACATTAACATAGCGTTTAGTCATTTGTTTGAACATTAAAAATTAGAAACGCTCTGTAATCTTAGGTACCTGTTAATATTGCGGAGTTTTTATATTGGAATAAACTAGTTGTGTAATATTTATTGATTTCTAGTGATTCTCTAGTTGACTTCAGTTCATAATAAAAATTATCCTCAAAATACATGAAAGACACATCATCATCATCATCTAATGTATCTACCTTCAATGTAATTTCGTTCTACCATAACAATTCAAATATTCGAACTTAACATTTCTATTTATTTTAATAAAGCTTTGATGATGATAAATTATTGAATTTGTGATAGTTTATTAAATTAGGGGGTTTTTTTTTTTTGTTCTATACACGAAGTATAGAAGAAATTATGAACTATTTATTTGAATACAATAAAACTTTGTAATTAAATAGTGACTATAAAAGTGTACACATATTACAAACATAGAATTATCACTAAATTTTCCCTATATTAACTGTTTTATTAGGTGAAGGTTTTCGACGTAAAATAGTAAATGATGATACTTTGGCAACAATGTCTCGAGGCAATGTTCATTTATATGATATAAGTAAGCAGTAATATTCTTAAGCATTTTGAAATTTTATCATATTCTTCAACTTTGAAGTACAGAATTCTTGAAAAATATATTTATGTCTATTTGGAGGATGATATTCGATAATTTTGATGCTTGATTATATTTCTTTGAAAACGTTTGGACCAAATGTCAAGCGAAACGTTGGGTTTACTTCAAATTCATTCTCTGAGATTTTGTAAATATATTCTTCCTTCCTAATATTTGAAGAATGCTTTTAATGAAAGAAACTTTCATTTAAGTCTTAGAAGTAACCAGTATACAGTGAAAACGAAAGTAAATGGAGAGTAGATAGTAACTATTTTGAAATAGTTTCCTTTTCTTGTATACATCCAAATTTGTAGTTAAGTATCTATCTTGACAAGTAAATGAATTGGTAGTGGAGTATCATGCATAATAAAAAGTATTGTTTTCGTATACTGAAAATATTACGGCAACATGATCCAGATCATGTATACTTCATAAAACTATGAAGAGACCACAAGACATTATTCTTTGTGCTAAATTATGTGTATTGAAGTAAGTTCTACCGCTAAGGTTGATCTGATTATTACGTTAGACATTTTGATTGAACCAGTGAAGGGTTCTATAAGCATCAAGTAGAAATAAGTATCGACCTCAGACAATGGACGAAGCGTCGTGCAATATCATGGGTCGATTGAAATTGGACGTTAGATTGTCGATACGCTCTGCTGAATAGTCCTATACTAGGACGAAACGGCCATCCAGTGCTTCCAGGTTCTTAATGGTGATCTAGTTTAAATCGACTCATGAATTCAACTATTAAAATTACTTTGTTCAAAGTTGAATTTTTGATCAAATGAATAAACATAAACTATCCTTTTTTATTTGTTTTTCCTTAAGGTGGTAGACAAGTAGGTTCATCACATTGGATTGGTTTAGAGAAAGATAAATCAACAATATTTGGTATCATTATTGGCAATTCTGTTCAACCATCAAGTCATAAATTTCAGTAAGTTCTAAAATGATACATATAGTTTTAATCATTCAACAAATATCTTTGTAGTGATATAGAGGGATTTTTGGAGGTTGCATAATTTTCATCGTTTAAATCTCTAACTGATCAATCCGGAGTCTTGAATGCATATCACTGAGGAGTCCTGTACTAAGACCGAATGGCCGTCAAATGTTTCCAGGTTTTCAGTAGTGGTTTGGCTAAGATTATTTTGTGATTTGAACAATAAAAACGTTTCATGATCATAGGCTCTGGTATAGATTAGTATATTTTATAACTTATATCACGAACTGATTTAATTTAAACAGCTACTGAAAACTAGAAAGCACTAGACAACAATTTAGTTCTAGTATGGGACTCCCTAGCAGTTCAAATTCATGGCTATGAACGGAGACTGAACGCAAAGCTTTCATTCTTCTCAATGACTGATTAGGCTTTCGGTCAGTGATTTGATGTTCAATGGTTGACATGTTTAACTTTAATGAACTCAAAGTAGTGCTCAACTGTCATCTACCACTCTTAGTAACACCTATCTGACAACTGATACTGTTGAAATTCACTGGTCACAGCTTTCAACTAAGACCAGTTGATGATATTAACTACTTAATCTGAATGTATTATTTTCGTTGAAATTAGTATTTCCATGTAAAAATATTTGTTTATAAAGCTATTAGAAATATGAAGTAAAAAATAAATGAGTTTACATCATCAAGTTTACATGTGACAAAAGTGTTTTAGTTGACTTGACCAACGAATTATTAGAATTATAATGGAATTCATTACAAAAATGTCTTAAGCATTTTGTTAAATCATTGAATAGAAGTACAACAGAATAAATACATGTACTAACTCGTTAAATATTCTAACAAAAACTACTAAGACGGAACAAGACAAATGTTTATTCTTGCTCTTTTTAATTATTGATTTTATCTTATTCTGCTACGTTCGTTGCTCTTCTTCTAGTCAAATTTACTGCCTAATTTCAATCTACTTCCAGAGTAGAATAGCTATATGATGATGAGGGTAAAATGTATATCACTTTGAGTAACACCTATCTCACGTTATCGGATTATGACATAAATTTATTTGTCACATATAAAGAATAAGTTGATAGTTGTTATTATGTAGTTATTGATTTCTTCTCGAATGATTTTTTTTATCATCTCTTGATGTTTCCTATGAATTTGTCTGATCCGATGGCAATTGGTTTTAAAAATTCAGACAGGTTGTATAATTCTGATATGTTTAATAAAGTTTTAATCTTGATACTTCATTAAATAATAACCCAAACTAGCATATAAAAATAACAATTAAAGATAAGCTGAAGCGATAGCGCGATTGCGTTTGAAGCGGACGGTACTGGGTTCGAGTCTCAGAGTGAAAATCAACTCTGAGATGCATGTACATCCAGCCAACGAGTCTCAAATAGGACGAAACGTGCATTATGGATCCCATTGCTAGCCACTATCCATCTTTGCACATAATACTTGTGAATTAAGGCTGTATCAAATTAACACGCACAGTATGCACATATGCCAATAATAGACTGATCAATTGCAGTGCTAAACATCAATGGGAAGATCCAACTAAAACAATAACAAAACCCTTTAACGATTGACCTCAACTGAATATGAAAAGTCTTATATTCAGGTCTCATGATTCATCACTGGTAGTTATAAATGAAAGTTTATCACATATTCTTATCATCAGAGTAATATAACTCTGATACTTTGGAAGTACTTTTAACTACTATCTCACTTCAATCTATTTATGCACCATTTTAAGTATAAATCAGAAATTATTCAATTAAAACATAAAACTTAAAAAAACTACCATTCTTATGCATAAAAAAGGAATACCTGATACAAATAGTAAATACTAACTAATAATAGTTGTACTATTTATTCTTTTTTAATACCTTTGATGCATTTTTATAAAACTCTTCTTTACCACTTAAACTTAAAGTATTTTCAAAACGGAAAAACGGCAACTTTTCAGATTACTTAAAAATAACAAGTAACACATTGTCATTTTAATAATTTAATTTGATCACAGCAATACATTCAATATGTACAAAGATTTCAAATACAAAACTCTCCATTAATAGAATTTCTCAGTTGAATAATGGATTTTTTTTTGAAAATTATTTCTAGAATTTTTCTTTGATGAAAATCTGTCAAGAGAAATATGTTGAGAATTGAGATTTGATAGTTAACATTACAAAATATGAAACACGATATAGACACTACTGAACAACTCGTAAAATTTCATTTGGATGGCGGCTCAGTGATCTAAAGGTTTAGTGTTCTCGCGCGAGACCGATATGTCCTGGGTTCGAATCTTGTGAGGTGGGATCATGGACGAGCACTGCTGAGAAGTCCCACAATAAGACGAAACGGCCGTCCAATGCTTCCACGTTTTCCATGATGGTCTAGCTTCAATTGACTCATGATATCCACAAAAACCCCTTCTGATACAAATAGTAATTTAACGACTCACCGGTGCTAATCGGAAGCTATTAGATCAGTAGCTAATGTTTCCAGCACTGCCAAAAGATATGATTTTGAAGTGAATTTTTAATATGAATCCTTAAAAACAGTCGATAAATATTTTTTACTAATCTTTGGCAACTAGAAATGGCTAATAGAGTTCGATTTAGTTACCGATTGAGTCATTTCTGTTACGGTAAACTATTATCAATAATTTACCGTTGGTGTTAAATACTGAAATTGACCAATCTCTGTCGGCACTATCAGGGCAATTTAATCAGGATGTACTTATTCCAAAAGAGACTGGTGAATTGCAGTTCTTTACATCTAAATCCCTACAAACAAATTACACACTCACTGTGCATCCAAATGATTATCTGGTCTAAACAGTTCAATCGATAGTGCTCTGCGACATTGAAAAAAAGGAGCTAAATTCGAGTTGCGGTGTGAGCACCAACACCGAAACACAGGCATGTTCATCTGACAAGTTTCAATCGGAACGAAACCCTTACCCCGTATTCCACATCCTAGTTACAGTCTAACTTTATTCGAATGCTATATTTTTTAAAAGTGAAATAAAGTTTTGTATTACTTTGCAATAACTCAGTAACTTGAAATGTTTGGCATTTATTCTGTGAACTTTTTTATTATAGTATAACGGATAATCCAGAAAAGAATGTGGGTGTTCAATTTTCAATATATGTGGCTGGATCCAATCCACAACTGCCAACAAATTTCAATCATCGCGTAGTAATGCACTTTAGCGCAGATCATGGTCGACCATGGACAGGAGGACATAGTCTAGTAGATAGATGGCTACTAATTTCAGCTTTGGATGATTACCTTAGACCTCATTGTATGGGAAGCATGATATGTAGAAATGATATGGATATTATTTTACTTACACTTAACTATCAAGGTATGTGAAGAATAAAAATCCGGATCTTAAGTTCAACATATTATAACATAAATGAACTACTGAATTTCTAGAAATAAAGTAATACTCCAAATTTGCGAGGGAAACAATTTTTTAATGAAATCGAGTGAAGATTATACTGTATTCTGAACAGACCAAAGTTGGAAATAGCTACTATCGAATTCAAACTTTGTGCTTTGAAAATGTCATAGTCACTACTAATCCAGAATGTTTTGAATCTAATATCACTTGAGTGGTCGATGAACATTACTGAGTAGTCCCAAAGTAGGATGGAAAACCTGATCAGTTTCTCTGATACTCCAATCAACCAAATTATTGAACACTGGTCTAATTATTACTTGACACACAAAAAAAGTATTAAAGAGTCACCTTAAAATAAAAATAGTAATTGTCAGTATAATTCTAACAAAGTTTCCTCTGTTTCAATACACCCAATCAAATATAGTGGTTTGCAAACTTATTTTACATAAAATTAATTAATTGAGAGGATTGTATTGCTTTAGTAAATTTAGATGATTCTAAGATCTATATACTTCTTATCAGTTAGTTAGTGTACAAGTGAATCTGAGAATTAATCTGCTGTTCGAAATAGACGAATTTTCAAGATTCATAATCATTTTTTCAAGTTTAAATAATAAATATGCTTGGCACATAAACTAGTATGCAAACTGTGAGGAAATGTCGATATCATATGGTTAAGGGTCATCAGTTACAATTCCTGTACCTAAGTTATGTGCTGATTGAAATTCATGAGCGTAGATAACACGTAACATTAAAAAAGTCTTTAATTCAAAGACACAAATGTGAGTCCACTAATGCCTGAATCAAACAGGTTACCTCAAAAATCGCACCATAAAAGGATGTGGGGCTTAAAATATTCACTCACTGATCAGTAAACAGTGTTAATATTACCAAACAGTAGCAGTGATTGAATTTTATCAAACCATTTATAACGCATATGAAAAACTACTTAACTCAATATCACCGAGAGCTTTGTATGCTGAGTGACGATTAAAATACATTCAACAGGTTATCGTAGTTATAAACTAATTCATAAAACTTTTGACCATATTATGGAAACTATTCGAACATCAACTTTTTAAAATGTAGTTGTAACACTACTTTAAGATATTCGTCTGATCAATTTTAAAAAGAATACTGAGTTTATTTCACTTGGTATTGTTTACTTGAATTTTCTCATTGGTGTGTAGCACTGCAATTTATCAGTCTGTTACTGGCATACGTGCATTGTGTGCGTATTACCTCGATATTGCATTAATTCACAAGCATTATAAAAATCTAAGTAAAGAACACCAAGTGAATTTAAACTTCACCCCATTGCACAAGCAAGTGGCTATCAGGACTCAGTAGCTAAGTGGATAACTTGATGATGTTTGAAGCGAACGATACTGGGTTCGATTCTGAAAGTGAACATCAATTCTAAGATGCAGGTACATCCGAATGACGAGTCCCAAATAGGACAAAACGCGCGTCCTAGATTTCACTATTAACCACTATCCATCTTTGGTTATACTGAGTCTACTGTTTTATCATTTTACTATATTATTCTTTTTCTTTTCCAAATACTTTTTCTCAATATAGCCTCTGGATTTTCTGTTATATGGGCTCAAAAATCTATTTTAATTCTTACTGAAAATATTCATTTAAATAAAACAACAGAATTATTAGATTCTTATACTCAACAAGAATATTGGAATCAATGGTCTAAACATATACATCATACAGTTAAACGTAATATAGATTTTAAATCAAATTCCTTTACAATTAAATAAACAATCAAAATGTAATAATCATTATGATAATTGTCAATCTTCATTATCAACTATACACTTTACTAAACCTATTTATGAACAATATAAAAATGTATATAGAAATAAACGTCATTTATATACTACAATAAATTGTCCTGAAAAAGAAATAATAAAATTAGAAAATCGTCTTTTATCAGAAATAAGAAAAGATTTACAACAACCATCAATTGATTTTATAAAACATTTAAAAGAAGCTGGTGTAGGTCAATTAGATGAAATACAAATTGAACGACTTGGTCCTTGTATTCAAACACAACGTAATTATGATTGGTTTTTTTTTTTGTTTATGAATATTTAATAGTTCTTTTTTGGAATTTATTAAGATTTTATATTATTATTATATTTGTTGTTAATTATCCTAATACTCATTGAACTATGGAATTCGAAGCCGATAGGTCCTGGTTTTGAAGCCCAGGGAGCGGGATCGTGGATGCGCACTTCTGAGGAGTCCCAAAATGGGACGAAACAGCTGTCCAGTGCTTCCAGGTTTTCTATAGTGGTCTAGCTTTAATTGACTCTTGCTCTCAACTATTGAAATTACTACAATCTCCACAAAATACCTTCTGATACTAATTTTTCTTTTATTTATCATCAATGGCAAGAAAATACACATGTTTAATTGTTGATTTAATATATACTACTAGTTATAGAACATTAAAAATAAATGTTGAGAAAAAAAAGAGGAAGACAAGTAGTACACAATCACTTTTCGTTTAATATGGAACTTCAGAACAAAACAAAATAATAATTGAGGGTGTTAGTTAAAATAAGCAACAAACAATTTTACATGGAGACCGTCACTAGCGAGACTGACAGGTCCTGGATTCGAATCTCGCAAGCCGGGATCGTGGATGCGCACTGCTGAGAAGTCCTGCAATAGGAAGAAACAGTCATTCAGTGCTTCCAGGTTTTCCTTAGTGGTCTAGCTTCAAATTACTCATGAATTCAACTATCAAATTACTATAATATCCACAAAACCCCTCTCTGATTATTTCTCTTGGTTTATTTTTTAATTTTGGGAAATAACAAAATTCATTCAATGACTATTTCTTTTGCCAATATGGAACAAAATCATTAGATGCATGATGGTATTGTAATTTACTGAAACTTGTTATTAATTGAAAACTAATTATATTTAATTAACTTTCTATATAATATGTAATTCATGAATGTGATTGGTAAAATTTTGATAAATACGTCTATTGTGTCTCTTTTATTATTTTAATAAATAATTCTTTGAGTATACATTTTTTTATATTTTCATACACAGAAGCTCCACCAATTTTCATACCTGGACCTGGATTTGAAGGTAATCATGAGACGTTTATTCCAAATTATGAAAATAAAAGAGAATATAAAGATTTGCTTGATATTGGTCCATCTATTTCATCGTCATCATCATCCTCATCATTATCATCGTTATCAACTTCATCTATACAGGATGAAATGAATGGATCAAGAATAATTCTACTTGGGACTCTTTTACCAGTTTGTATATCATTTATTATACTATTATTAGGTATATTAGCATTTGTATGGTATCGTAAAAATGGTAGATCATGTACAGATGGATTAACATCGCATACATCCATTGTTAATAGTGGACATAGTGTTGTAAATCTAGAAACTGAAAAAATGTTAACAACAATAACTAGTCCAAAAAAATTGACAAGCAATGGTCGTCAGTCAAAGAATACAAAACCAGGTGAGTTTGTTCTGTAATTTTCAATTTTTCCGATCATGTGAATCATATCTGATTCTATATCTCGGATATGATGTTAATTTTAAGGTTTAACATAGTAGCAAAACTCAACTTCTTTTAATAATTGTCATTTAATAATTAACACTTTGTATTGCTTATGTTTATGAACATAACACTGGTCGGAACAGTGAAATAAATTGAATGTGTCCAGTTTAAAGTTATCACCATATAAGACTAATATACCTCAATGATTTTGTAAATCAAATTAGTGATACTGTCCATTTATTCATTTACATTAGGATAAATTTATATTTCAATTTTTGTATAGAATATTCTTAAACATACCTAATTACTTTGTTTCTGTGTACAGATTCTGGATATGGAGATATAGAAAATACATTAGAAGCTTTATAATTCAGTTGCTTGATGCATTCTGATGACTATGGGTTCATCTGACAGTCAACATTAAGATTTCCACACTACTGACATAATTTATCAGACAGACATTTATTTTATGAATTATTAACTGATGGGGTGAGACTATAATTTATGGATGACCTTTAAGCGATGCTAGACTGATCATGAGTGTTCACCTAATAACCAGGACCAAATGAGGGTTACAAACCTGTGTGAAGAATTAAAAATATGATTTACGGTTAATGATTAAGGTTAGAAATTATATTTACGGTTTTCATGAAGAACTGACATCATCTATAATGCCAAAACTCTATTTAGCCAAATGGATGAGTGAATTTCGCGCCAAAATCCAAACCTGTTATTTTATACGTGATTGGTTCATCCATAAATTTTAATCCCGCCATGGATAGATAATACAATTTTTCTATTATGCAAGTGATGAAACTGTATCCTAAAGGATAGACGATTGAATGATAAAAATTACGTTGTTATGCTAAATAAGATAATCTTTATATAATTTTATAAACTGCATCTATGATCATCATGTTAGTGTCATGATTCATTATAGTTAAGTGATAAAATCTATGTTTAAAATTAACCATTATTATATGTCAACAGTTGAGATCATGAGTCAACTGAAGCTAGACCACCACGGAAAACCTGGAAGCACTGGACGGCCGTTTCTTCCTATCGTGGGACTCCCCAGCAGCGCGCATCCACGATCCCTCCTCGTGGGATTCGGACCTAGGACCTATCAGTCCCGCGCCAGGCGCTTAACCAACTAGGCCACTGAGCTGACCGGCATCCAATGGTGTTAATGTCTAACTTCAGCTAATCCACGAAATTGAGCGACACATCCACCATTGTCATCAGTGAGTTACTACCTCACAACTGACCCGGTTGAATTTCACTGGTCACTGCTTCTCACTAGAACTCCAGAATATATCTCTTGAAGCTAGTCACTAGTGAGCATATGTTGATTATTATCGGAAAAGGTTTTGTGAAGATTGTAGTAATTTCAACAGTTAAGATCATGAGTCAATTGTGACAAATCATAAGTAAAGATCTTGTAGAATCTTCCAGTTCTATCTGATTATAAAAAACGACATAATAAGGATGAATAGCTGGTATTAACGTTCTTTCTTATTGTAAATTACCTAGAAATTACTTAAAAACATTTAGTTGATCAAAATTTAACTAATTATACAATATCAGAAGGGGTTTGTAGAGATTTTAGAAATTTTCACAGATTGAAATCATGAGCCAGTTGAAGCTAGACCACCATTAAGAACCTGGAAGCACTGGACGGCCGTTTCTTCCTAGTATGGGACTCCTCAGCAGTGCGCATCATCTGCTCACTAGTGACTGACTTCAATAGATACTCTTGGAGTTCTAGTGGGAAGCCGTTACCAGTGGAGTACAACCAGGTCTGTTGTGAGATATCAGCTCACTGAAGACAATGGTACATGGTGGCGCAACTTCGTGGATTGGTTGAAGTTAGACATTAACACCGTTGGATGGCGGCTCAGTGGTCTAATGGTTAAGTGCTCGCGCGCGAAGCCAGTAGGTCCTGGGTTCGAATCTCGCGGGGTGCGGGGTCGTGGATGCGCACTGCTGAGGGGCCCCATACTAGGACGAAACGGCCGTCCAGTGCTTCCAGGTTCTCCATGGTGGTCTAGCTTCAACCGACTCATGATTTCAATCTGTGATAATCATACAATAACCTACATTCTGTTTACTTTCCTTATATTACTAGTTACTGTTAAAGTATAAATAATGGTGAGAATGAAAATCAATTTATTTACACTTTCCTATTTCTTACATAATAATACTGATGTGTAAAGATCGGATAATTAACGTTTTCCTTCGTTATTACATAAGCTTTCAATAAAAACTAATCATTTCTTCTATTATTCATATGAGCATATTAGATCATCAATAAGTAAAATATATTTGAACAATGGAATTAATTTTGGTTGGAAAAAATATTAGTTGTAAATTGTAAGAAATATATTGAAACAAATTATTCAATATCATAGGTGGTTTTTTTAAGAATTTTTCGACACTTATTAGGTTACTAACCGTTGTATATATGACCATATGTAAATATGATCATCGGTCACAACTTCTCACTTGAACTCAAACCGATTCGTGATTTCAATGGAGTTCAAAAATCTCCACAACCCCTTACTGACACTCATCAAGTGCTTACTAGCGACTAGCTTTAAGTAGAAATTTCCGAAGTTCTAGTGAGAAGTCTGAACCCATGGAGCTAATTCGTGTCAGGTGTGAAGTGGTCACCCACCGAAAATGTGTAAATATTCAACTAATAAACCATTGAGGAAATCTGTAAAAATAAAATAAGGCTTTCGTAATACCATGTGATTTCTACACCACTAATTTAAATATATTTCCATCCGAAAATTAAAAATATAACTCAACTAAATTAATATTGAATATAAAAAATCAATGCCAAAGAATTGATGACGGGTAAATTAATAATAATATATCGGAGTCCAGAGATGAAATAGTAAGTCAGTCGATTACTAAGACTGATCACATAATGTAAATGTAAATAACGTAAGAGTATATTTGAGTTTAATGATCACTATGTTAGAACATCGATATTCATATTTAAGCAAAGAATAAAGACAATTAATAGTACACCTTTAGTTGACACCGTCCATCAAGTCAAGGTAAATGTAGCATTTGTAACCTTATATCAGCATCAATCTGATTTCCCCTATGCTTTCAGATGTCGTCTCCTACACACAACACAAATTATAGGAATTCAAACAAACAGACCTTACATTTTGCATCAATAAATATCACTACAACCTCTCAAATTGCTCTCCACATCAAATTAGTCCCACACACATACTTAGACTCTTCATTTATGTTCATCCTTGCTCTTATATGGTCATTGGAAACGATTAACGGATTCTTGAACACAGATCCTATTGCATCTTCGTTAATATGTAATGAGTCTTAATAGTCGACTGATTAATTGTTCCTTCTTCATATTTCGGCTTATCGTTAGTAATATTAACATCATATTAATTTACTCGTTATCGTTTCACTGAATGATTTTACTTTCATACGTAGAACTAGATTTAATAGTGTTGAACCATGATAAAGAACTAATTGAAGTGAAATATTTTTTATTTAAGTCGTATTTCTATTCATTTCTACTTGGTTGAAGGAATCAATTTCACACATACTACTGACCTTATTGTATTTTAATCATAATTATAATCATATTCATAAAAAATAAAATGAGTCCTTATAAATAGATAATTTAGTATATAAATATAAAAAAGGTTATTACAGTTACAATCTGCCTTCTTTTTCAACTGTAGATAATATGAACAGTGGAAACACTTCAAATGGATCTGATAAAACATGTTTATCCCCTACAAAACCAATGATATTAATTAATGAACGACCACCGTTTACACCACCGGACTATAATCCAGGATTTACTGACTCCACGGACAGACTACCTATGACACATTTATCTCAATCACAAATTCCATTACAAAATACTAATGAAACATTAATTCCTGGAATGATGGATAATAGACAGAATCAGACAAAAACAAGTTTTACTTTACGACCTAATCCATATAGAAATTTACCTCCAGCAATTGAAACAAAACCAGGAATGCCTTCTCCTGCCTCACAAATTCCCTATGCACCATTTCGTAAAATTATGACGTTCCCTAATTCATCAACTGATCACAAACAATAGATAGCTATCTAACTATCTATAAGATAAGTGAAAGATTTATATCCGTCACAATGTGAAAATGTATCATACATGTATTATTATTATTTTAAAAGAGAACATTTTTCATCTTATCTATTTTATTTTGTCTTTTTGGGTTTCATTTCATTTAATCCAATCCACTTTATTGTTATTTTTTATGGAACCACTGGCATTTTTTTTTCTTATCATTGATTACGTATATACACATACACAATTGACATTTTACTTTCAGTACGAAGGTATCTCATAATGATTATCCTTGAAACTGATCAATTCATTCGGACAAGTGAAATCATGTTAATAAACTAGCCCAGATTGTTTTGTTTTCTGCTTCACGATTCATAAACGCCTTTGTTTATGTATACTTTTTAAAAATAATAATAAAAGATGAATTCGTGTGTATCGGTTAACTTTAATGCAAAAGTACTTTTTCCTATTATCACTGTTTGTTCTGCTTGTTGATAAATTACTTGAAAGAATAAAGAATACCGAAAAAAATTTTTTTTCATTATTTTATGCTCACATTTTTCTTTATTTATCATTGTTTACTAACTTTTCTTTCTTACTTTCCACTAAGTTTGTTCTTTCACAATACTGTACTGTATTAATATGTTTGTTTATTAGTAATCTTTATGAGTATAACCACAATTATGTATAGTAAATGTGTAATTTATTTTGCTTAGGTATTTTATTAACTCATTTTTTAATGGAAAAAGTAAATGTTAAAGTTTAATCATTTATTTATTCATTTGTCTAAGATGAATATCGACATTGTGAACAGTAATCCTTTCAATAATCATCCTCTTGTATTCTTCGATTTCCTTAATGTTAACCTTCTTTTATTTAAAATGTATTAATTTTAAAACAATTTTCTTGTATAAATTTCTGTCCAATGGATAAATAAAACAAAACAATGATGAGATTATCGATTTCAGATTAAGATATAATATAATACCGATATGATCAATGAAGTTACATTAAAGTACTATCTTCATTTGGAATTAGATCAGTTGAATATGATCTGAAATCTGAAATCCATTTATCATTGTCATCATTAAACTTGTATGAAATTTTTTTTTAAATAATCGTTATTTTTCACTTACTTTCATTCAATGTTCATAAAATAAACAGAGAATGCTTAAAAAGAGTTTAATATTTCCGTTGGGGGGGTTGTTTTCCTGCTCGTTATTCATTTTAATCTAAAGTTTATTTACTTTTACTCTCATTGTTATTGAATTGTTGTTCATTCTTGTTATTTTATTTGTGTTCTTCTCTTTTGCTTTTTTCTTTTCTACTTTCTTTCACTTTTCCATATTCACTATTAACTCATAATGATGATAATCAAATAATGGAACAAAAACATAAAAAAGATGAATTTTAACAACAACAAAATATACAATGATTATTTTCGTAATTGGCAGAAAATTAAGAAGCATTGAATAATTGTTCCATTCTTGTTTAGGAATTTAAATCAGTATGTATCCACCAGTTTGCACAAAATGATGGTAAACCTAACAGTATTAGATCTAAACAAAAAAGTTTTAAAAGATACACATTTGTAATGTTAATCAATTTACAAAATGATGCGACTATTTTTTCCTACGTATTTCAGTCAGTCAGTAATAACGTGGAACTTTGTACGTATGTACATAAGTTCGAGTAAATGACTTAAACCTACTATGTTTGAGGTTAAAAATCATTTTCCGTAATGGTTTATAATATTGATAGAACAATTATTTGTTCATGGATTTATTGATAACATATCCAGTGTTTTCAGGAATAAGTGACTTACTTACTTACGCCCGTTACTCTTAATGGAGCATAGGCCGCCGACCAGCATTCTCCAACCCACTCAGTCCTAGGCCTTCTTTTATAGTTCCATCCAATTCTTGTTCATTTTTCTCATGTCTATTTCCATTTCCCGGCGTAATGTGTTCTTTGGTCTTCCTCTTTTCCTTTGGCCTTCAGGATTCCATGTGAGAGCTTGTCTTATGACGCAGCTGGATGCTTTCCTCAATGTGTCCTATCCACTCCCAGCGCTTCTTCCTGATTTCTTCGTCCTCTGGGATCTGGTTTGTTCTCTCCCACAGTAGGTTGTTGCTAATATTGTCCGGCCAACGGACAGGAATAAGACAGAATAATATAGATAACAGCAGAGAGATATCCCTACAACATTAATATATCTAGGAGAAGGCATGATAGTATTATATTTTTTAAGAATTTTCAATGGAAATCTCTGTCAGCTAGGAACTATTAAAATTCAGGGTAAACAACAAGATAATCTGGACCTAGCTTTCCCGCTAATTGCTATCCTTTGACAAAGAGTCTTGAGGAAACTGATATTTTCATGAGATTTGATTCTTTCTCACAAAGTATTACTTCCTGAGACAACCATTAAGCTGTCTGAACTGCAACTAAACACATATAATTATCTATTTCCAGAAGGGTTCTATATGATAAATTTCAGGTCACATTCACATAATTAGTAATAAGTTTTGTTCATTTCACTGAACTTGTTTGGTATCATAATAATTCCCAAAAATTTCATAGACCATAATATGTATCAACATTTTGACTGATCAGTCTCATACCACACAATAGATTACATAAGAATCTCAATAAGGTCTCCGTAAAGTGGAATACAGTAATCATAAGCATAAAATAATAACTTAACCATTTCATTCAATCAATAAAATTAGGTTTTTAAAATTTACCTTTATTTTCTTCTAATTAGTGCATGCTTCATGAAATTATACTAACCATAACAATTACATAATTGACCCTTTACAATTATACGAATCACTATATCAAATTTAATTGATCAATAATTAGATTAACTATGATTTTTTTTTCTTGTCATTTAGTAGATATTCTATGTATCATAAATCGAAAGAATGACTGATGTTAGGACTTTTATCTCTGCTACAATAATCACCATATTCAAAGATAGTTAAAATATGAAAATAATTAGATTACAAGATAAATCAACCCCAATTAATAATTGTAGTAATCACTATTATTTAAAATCATAACTTAACCACACAAAATTATTAAACCATGATGAAAGTTAGCAAACCTGTTTAAAATAAGATGCGTATATGACAAACGAGACTAATCAGTTATAGTCCTTACTTCGATTCATTTACATGAATATTTGTACTGAATACAATGATGTAAAATGCTCTGGTACGGCCGAGAGTGGGGAGAGTCCGCTCTCCCTCTCGAAATACTCTCACACGGCCACGCGTATACAGCCTCTGCCAGGGAAGTCCTACTCATTGCCTTCTCGTGGCGGGGGTGTTGTTTACGAAAATGAGAGGACGAAAAGCGAATGTCCGGCGCTTTAACCGGATTCCAAACCAATGGTGCACATGGGCTCCAGTATCCTGCGGGAACAAATGGCGTATGAACCAATCGTTGGTCACCGGCTACCATGGGACTGCATCTCCTTACGATGCTCCACTGCCTTGTGGGTTAGACCTTTAGGTCAAAGGCTCGGGGAGTGGCCCCCTAAGATAACCACCTGCTTCGGTTTGGGCACCCGGGCAGTATCACAGCCCACACACAAATGATGAACTCTTTATGTCTATGGAAATTACTTTTCTCGCTTTGAAAAACAGACAATTGATTCAAATTATTATCATTACAATTATTGTCATTATTAATACTATTATTATTATTATTACTATTATTGTCATTATTATTATTATTATTATTATTATTATTTTCCACATTATTCACCCTCTTTTATACTTATACAGCGGCTCGTCTTTGGTGGAAATTCGACTGTATCTAAACGTTCTCGAGTCACTGTCCGGTTGAAAATTGTATGTTACCACCGAATACGAGGACTGAAGCAGTTTTTCTGAAACCACGTGCACCATTCAAACTGGCTGCCTTCAACGTTCGCACATTTATGCAGGTCGGACAACAGATAGGGCTGGCTATGTCTTTGGAAAGTCTTAATATCGATGTTTGTTGTCTATCCGAGACCCGTATTCAAGACTCTGGCGAAGTACTACAAATTCGATCTCCATCTGTCGCTTCGAAAAGCTTGTTTTACGTGCGCTTATCCGGGGACCCTGTGGCATCTTCGTCTGGTCTTGCTGGCGTTGGTGTCGCACTAAGCGCTAGAGCTGAGGCAGCACTAGTCGATTGGATCCCCATTAACAGTCGGTTATGTGCTGTTAGATTAGAAAGTTCCATCAAAGTGAGAAGAAATCGGCGTGAGAAACGATGTCTTTTCGTCATCTCCGCCTATGCCCCGACAGATTGCAGCCCGGATGCAATCAAGGATGAGTTTTACCACCAGTTATCAGTTCTTCTCCAGAAAGTGCGTTCGACAGATATTGTAGTACTAGCCGGAGACTTGAATGCTCAGGTCGGGCGTCTAGGCACAGAAGAGAGTCGTTTAGGTGGCCGATGGGGACTCGTTGGTCGCAGGTCAGATAACGGGGACCGTCTACTGCAACTTTGCACAGACCACAACCTGTTTCTGGCTAGCACTAACTTTCGGCACAGTCATCGCCGATGTGCCACCTGGCGTCCTCCCTCTGCATCTCAAGCCTGGACTCAGATTGATCACATCGCGATCAGCTACCGCTGGCGTGGTTGTGTACAAGACTGCCGCTCCTTTTGGAGTACCTATCTGGACTCTGACCATGCCTTGGTCTGCGCCAATCTTGCCTTACTTTTCAGTGGACAACGAAGTGAACGCCATCAACGGATTGATGTTAGCAAGCTGGTTGCAACTTCTGTTGCAAGTAAGTATCGAACCGAGCTAGCCTCTAGGCTAGCTACCACTCCACCGAAAAGTATAGATGAGCATTGGTTGCAATTGCATGACGCCATGAAAATGGCGGGAACAGTCAGTTGTGGGTTTGCGAAACGTCCCGCTTTTAAGCACTGGGTTTCTTCTGGTTCCTTACAACTCATTGAAGCCCGTCGGTCTACTCCGGGTGACCGTGAGTTTGACCATAAAC